GAACAGACCCCTGAGGGACACCACTTGACACTGGTCTCCATGTAGACATTGCGCCATTGACCACAACTCTTTGAGTGCGACCATCCAGCCAGTTCTTTATCCACCGAGTGGTCCATCTGTCAAATCCGTGTCTCTCCATTTTAGAGACAAGGATGTCCTGTGGGACAGTGTCAAACGCCTTGCACAAGTCCAGGAAAATGACATCCGTTGCTTTACCCACATCAACCAGAGCTGTAGCTTTGTCGTAGAAGGCCACTAAATTAGTCAGGTACGACTTGCCCCTAGTGAAGCCATGTTGGCTGTCACCAACCACTTGGTTATTTTTGATGTGCCTTAGTACAGCTACCAGGAGGATCTGTTCCATGATTTTACCTGGCACAGAGGTAAGGCTGACTGGTCTGTAGTTTCCCGGGTTGTCCTTGGTCCCTTTCTTAAAGATGGGGGTTATGTTTGCCCTTTTCCAATCTGTAGTAACCTCACCAGACTGCCAGGACCTCTCAAATATGATGGCTAGTGGCCTAGCAACTTCGGCTGCCAGTTCCTTCAGGACCTGTGGATATATCTCATCAGGTCCCATGGATTTGTGCACCTTCAGGTTCTCTAGGTGTTCCCGGACCTGATCTGCTCCTACCCTGGGTGGTTCTTCACTCTCCCAGACTCTCTCCCAGTTGAAGAAAAGAAAGTGAAGGGATTAATAAATAAGGCAATTCTTCATATCAGACTCCTCTGGGCAGTGTGTGATGTCTTTGTCTTCATTCTATCTGTCCTTACAGCTGTAGCTTCTTATAAACTGTTTTATGCATCTTGTTCCATTTATCTTCTTTCAACTGATGAAATTCAGAGGTTACCGAGGTCCATTTTTAAAAATTTTTTCTTCCTAGAGGAGTCTTGAGACTTCTCTTGAGACTTATTGAGAACATCTCTCCAGCAAGCTTTTGTCTTCAGTCATCCAATAGAAAATGTTGATAGAATTCAGCCTGAGGAGAGCCTTAGTGGGTGTATACTCTAAAAGTACTTCCAGAATAAGAATTCTGTGTTTATTGAATGTCAGTATTATTTTTCAGTGCTCTCATAACCTGCTGGAAGGTGCCATAGCATATATTTTATGACTGCTGGTACAGTGTTCTAGTCAGTGTTGACGGTTTGTCCTGCCAGGATGAATAATGTTTCATTTACCAAGAAAGAAATTATATTAGTAGAATTCTCTCTTGAATATCCTTGCATTTTTCTTAATTCTCTATAGTTGCCAAGTCTATCTCAACAAGCAGCTTGTTAAAGTAACTTTCTTTGAGTGAGTTAGTCAAAGGGTGCTGCTGTTTGAAACACTAATGCCGTGTTTGCCAGGAGGGGATATCTTTTGCCTGATAAGGCTCTGCTTCTGACCTCTACAGAGAGGATGTGAGTCATTTAGGAGAATTAAACAAAGCATACCTAAGAAACTGGCAAGTAAGCAAAATTTTCTCTTCAGAGCTTCCAAACAGGTAGACAATGAAGGAGTTGTTATTCAGAAGGAACATTCTATTTTAAAATAACTAGTGTCCCGTTTAAAATCAGGCTTTTTTTTTTTTTGTAACAGACTTTGAAAAGACTTAAGCTCTGTGCTTTTAGTATTTCCTGAAACATTCAAATAGAATTCTTGGAATACAACTAGTGAAACTCCGTGGTATTTAAGGTGCTAAAACTGAACAAAATTAAGACTTACTATAGCTTGTTAAGGTAGTGTTTCTCCCCTTCGTAGACGGGAATCTCCGTGGAAAAATCTGCTTGCTTCTGAAAACAGGTTCTATGATTCATTAAACAGGTATCATCCTGTTGGGATTTGAGGCTTTGTAATAACCATTTTGACCAGTTCAGGGTTGGACTTTTTCTACATGGATTGGTAATCACCACATGCACCATTAGTTTCCTCTTCACGTTTTGTTTGTCCAGTTGAGTCCATTTTTGGACTGGTTAAAAGCAGCCGGTGTCAAAGACAAATTGAGATGGCTAAAGAACCAGCTATGAATTCATATTAAGTACTGGTTTTCTTGCTATCACCACCCGCAAAGGTAGAAATTCCTGTTGGATATGCCAGGATTTAGTGAACCATTTGCAGTGTTTTGGGAAGCAGATTTTCAAAAATGTAAGGTAAGATAAACAGGAACAGCAGTTAATTTTCCAGGTGAGTTTTCACATCTGCTTTTTGCAAATAAAGTAAAGATAACAAATAGATTTGCCTGACTTAAACATTGGAAAGGGGAAGAAAAGAAAAAAAAAAAAAGACTTGTTAAATTAGTATTAGTGTTTCTGTTGGGAACATTCACAAGTTAGAATTAACATCATGTGTATTTTAAGCTGTAGATCTCAGTTTCACGCTCTGCAGTGGCAGTCCTAAAATACTGACATTGAAAGCCTACAGGTTTTAAGAGCTTTCCACAGGTAAACGTGTTACAGACCCCCTCAGAATTACTGAGTCAAATTCCAGCTTTGTTTTCCATGAAGGCACTCATTGTGGTGACTACTTAATCTTTTGTATGAAAAGTTCCCCCTTTAGCTACTTATGTTGGGTGGTGTATTCTGCATGTTGGCATGAATAAAATCTTTATCTTGCATGCTTGATTTAAGGTGTTATAGGGACTATCAAGCTTGCCTCACTGTCCTGTTAGGCAATGCTATGAAAAACCACATGGGAGAGCTCTTCAGCTGTCTTAGGATCGAATGGTTGGGATGTTTTATTCACTAAATTTCAGTAGTTAATCATTTTTCTTAATGACAACTGCATTCACCATTAACCTTTCTTATGAGCAAATTGAAGAAGGAAAAACAGGGTAATTTTGGGGGAAGACAGCTAGATTTGCCTGAGACTAGAAATTACCTAGTTTACGAATTATGATCTGTCATATTTCAATGAAGAAAGTCTTGCATTTCAGAAAGCAGAAATGGAATATGTTCTTAAGACTAAGTGGTAGAGTTTTTAAAGAGGCTTTCCTATTGAGATTTTTGATGGATAGCAGGAGTATGTAGTGTATGATGGATAGAGCTGCTTTTTTATTCTAAAGATCTGAAGCAAAAGAGACATGAAGCAGTCTGGCTGTGGAGAGCTCTTCTTTAAAGTCATCTTATTAAAATATTAAAGTAATCTTATTAAAATATTAAAGTATATTGGTACTTGGGTTCTTCCACTAAGGCAAGTAGTAGGTGCCTGTTGTCAACTAACAAGAATTGCGTTTGAGAGGACACTGATTGTTTTTTCAGTCGTGTTGTGTAAACACTGTGATGCCATAGTGTATGGGAACAAAGCAGTAGTCAATAGACATGATCAGAAACTGTATATGGAGAATCTTAAAAACTCATGAGGTTCTGGTTGAAGTAAATCATTGTTCACGGTTTGAGGTGTAAACTGCAAGTAACGCTTTATTTATCAGATACATGATGAGGCAGCAATTGCCAAAGATCTCATCTTGAGGAATGTTTTTGAGCAAGAGATTCTTTCATAATGAACTAAGCACTGTCGATATCAAAGATCCTAAACTGTGGTTTCTCTTCATAGCATTAGCGCACTGTAGATTTTCTGGTGGTTGCAGAGTGAATTCTATTTTCCAGCTTCTTCCACTATCAAGCTATTGGATATTTCATCTTCTGTCTTACTTAGTGGATTGTGTATTTCACTTTGGTGTGTTTCAAGCAATAATAATGTTAGCAATTTCTCTCTTGGAACTTACATTTAGACACCTGTAGACTTAGGTCTAAACAGCTGTAGTCATTGAGTATTGTGATCCCAAGTGAAGAAACAAGCTGGTATAACAACACAGAATGTTCCTGTCCCTCTCTGCTTTGATGCAAAGTCCAGCAGCAAAGGGACAGTTTAATACAATCCCTTCTGACTCTGTTTTGCGTGGTTAACTGCTGGCAGTTTTTTCCTAAATGGGTGCCGCTAGGCTTGACATAACTAACTTGTCAGTGCCCAGAAATAATCATGAAGCACTGAAAAATTGTCAAAAGGTTTCTCGACACCACTGGTGGTAACTAGAGTTATTGCCTTTTGAAAAGATGAAAGGGCTCGAGAATTCTGTCACCAGAATTACTCGGTAGCTATGAACGTGTGTGAAGGTTTTCATGAATTTTTTGAATGTGCCAGTCTCTTCAACGACACAGACATGCCCTTACAGGTTTGGGGGAGGAACAATAGGCAACTCCTGTGTCCCATGTTGTTTCTTAATGTTTTTCACACTGGGAACCTGCAAGAGGTAAAAGTATCTGCGGGATAGCACAAACCTGAGGAAGTTTCTGTAGAATCAAAATGACGTTTTTGCTGTGTGTGCTCTTTTCTACTGGGAGTCGTATTTTGAGTGTTTTTCTCCAGTTAGCAAATAAGAAAATAGTCCTGTCAGGTTATAAAAGTCATCAAGACAATCCAGTATGAGCCATATTCAGCTCATACTGAACAAAGACAACGTAATCAGGCAATTTCTTCGTGAGGGAACTGCTGTCTTGTAAAGGAAGATGCATGAAAGCTGAAGGTAGTGATTTTGTAAAATCAAAACAAAAAAACCCACAAAAAACCACACACAAAACCACAACAAAACCAAAAATTAACAAAGAAATTATATATATAGGTTCACTATTCTTTTTCTTCTGAGTGACAACATAGCTTTTTTTGTTAGCTAAATTAAAAATACATAAGGAAATGGAGAAACTAAAGCAATGGATAATACTGCTTGTGTCCCTCACATGTTCTGCATTATTCTGAAAAAATATTGTTTATTTGAGAGAAGATAAAGCACAGAATGGTGCCT